CCAGCAGTGGCCCTGTGACGCACAACGTTCATAATCTCGATGGTGGCGAGGTCGATATCGAGGCCCTTGCACAGCATCTCGATCTCAAACTTCAAGTTCAACTTGATTTCACCGTAATGGTAGAACTCGGCCAGTAGAGTTATGACCGCCATCAGCCAAGGGTTGGGTGGCTTGAAGACCTTGGATTTAGAGCAAGGCTCGAGGGTTTTGCAAATGAAGGGAATGGCGACAATAAGACGTCCATGGTCAAAGCCCTCCATGAGAAGGTCCTTGAAGGCAAGATTCTTGTGACGTATCGGCTTGTCACGAGCAAGCGTGATGGTCCCAAGCCATGACGCGATATTCTTCAGCACCAAACGCTCCGAGGTGATCTGCATCGTCTTCTCGCTGTTCAACACCGTTGCTGCTTTAGCAAATGTCTCCTGCAAGATATACTTCGACAAAACCCGTTTGTCAAGCGCGTCGAGGAAACGCAGATACAACTGGTGGTTGTTAGGCTCGCTGCTGATACGCTGGTCTACCAGATAATTAGCGAACCACCTCGAAAAGGCATCGTCAAACTGCTCCTTCATCTCCAATAGCTTGGCATCGAAGTTACTGGGCGCAAGGTTGTTCACAATGAACAGAATCTTGTCGGAGACTTCCTCCGGAGGCTCGACGATCTCCACATCAAACTTATCAGGGTGGATGGAAGTAAATACAGGCGCAGGGTCAGCCGTAAGACCAGCAGAGATACCGCGCATATCAGCGTTACTGCGCGATCCGTCGCCACCAACAGCGATAGCACGGTGAATGACGGCCGTTAGATCAGGGCGAACCTCCATAAGATGGGGAATTCTGAGAAGAGCCTGACACAGAGGCTGCCACTCAGCAAGGCGAGTTTCGAAGCGGGAGAGGGCTTGAAGACCAAACTTAAAAAGATTGGTATCGGGAGGACAGTTGAGGGCGTCGACGACGTAACGGATGGCAATTCCGAGAGGTACTGAATCTACGAGATCGTGATGAATGATAGAGCCAAATAGATATCCAGTCATGGCAAGCTCGCGAGCGGGGTAGTAGGATTGGAAGAATTTGTATTCGTCGAAGAGGAAGTGGAGCATGCAGGAGAAAATCTCGTGGTCACGAGTATCGGAAGAGACTTTGCTGCGTTGGAGAAGGGCGATGACCTCATCGATAGAGGTCTGTTCGTCATACATGTGCTTGTAAATGGCGTCAACCTCACTCTCGATCTCCGCTGAGTAATTGACGACAGTCAACCCAGGATCGATATCGCTACCGGGGATGAGGCTCATAAGACGAGGGTGAACCTGCAAACAGGAGTTGCGAACTTCGAGACAGTAGTCAATATCATCCCGAGGCATTTTGGCAGAACTACAAACAGATAAGTAAGGGACAAGAAAAAAAAGCAAATCAGAAGGCATGGACACTCACTTATTACGGAGAATACGCAGGAATATAGTGATGGTGTTGGGATTTAGGGACAGCGTACGACTATCGACAGCGGGATCCGACATTCTTGCCACCTTCTCACTCTCCATTTTGACTTCCAAAAATGCGACCATGGCGCGTAAGAACTCTGCTCCATGTTGGTTAACGTTATCGGCCAACCACTTGTCGAGGTTCAGGTATTCTCGGCGCGATGCCAGCGAGGCGACATCTAGGGCAAATGCAAAGGGCCGAACATCGAGCAAGCTCTCCAGAATCTGATCCCATTTATAGTCATCATGAGCGCCTTGAGGCTCACTTTGGCTTACCTTGAGGTCCTGAGCTACGTCCAGGATCCTCGAGATATTGAGAGGATTTTCCTCATAGAAGTCGCGGAATGCATCGGTCAGATAGGTCGGTTCGATCTGCCATAGACGCATGAAGACAAGCTGGTGGTTAGGATGTCCGGCAAGGAACATGGCTAGAAGTTTCCGAGAGTATTCCACGCGTATTTCGTTCCAGTTCGCATCCTTGACGCTATTAGAAAAGAAGCATGTGAAAATAGAGAAATAACTTACTGGCACTTGCAGTAGACCCATTTGTACCAATTCAGCGCTGATCTTCAGTGCCTTGTCGAGCATATCCCTAACACATGAGCGAATTTCGGCACTGTCCGAGTCTGCGAGTCGTACGAGAACCTCGAAGACATCCAACGAATTCCAAGTGTGGCTCTGTACGTTTGCTGCAAGGGATTTGATGGTAGGGCTCGCAACTGCGACGTCATCCACTGTAACGATCCTCCTGCCTGGCAAAGATACAAAATTGAAAGTATCCGCAGGTAGTGAGAGCAATGCATCAAGAAGTTTCAGTTGATATAATGAGTTGGACCATGTCCCCCAGAAACCAATCACAGCATGAGGATCGGCGTCACGTGGGCAGTTAAGCAGAATGGCGATCAGAAGCTTTAAGGTAGCAGTATCCACCCCATGACGGTCAGGTAGATCGAATGCCTTAATGACATTCGCCCAGTTCAAGGTAGTGTGCTAATCATGCACGTGAGTAAATGCAAATCTCGATCAAAGAAACCCTTACAAAGCTGCTCAATGCCCTCACCAAAGCTCCGACATCACATAAAGTTGTACCCTCCGCGGCCAATCGAGCCAAATTGGACATGATCTCCACCAATTGCGCGTCTCGAGGAGGATTCGCGTCCGAAATCCCAAAGCGTTGAAGCAAAGCGCAAACAGTATCCGGATCGCTGGTGATATCAGGACCCAACTGAATCAGTGTCTGAACCAGAGAAGTCCCGGGAGGCAAGCTGCGCAAAAGGGTTCAAGTTAATAGTTGACGAAAGCGGCAAACACAATGCCCTGACCTTAACGTTGGGAAAATACGCTGCAGGATAGGAGCGACGATTTCGGGCCCATACTTTGCCTGCGCAGCGGCAATGAGCGCTTGACGCTGCGTGGAATCCAGGATTGGGGTGTCAGAGGTGGACTCGGAAAGAAGATTTGACATGAGTTTCGCAACTTGCTGAGGTGAAAGATCGGCGTGGTCGAACGAGGGGTGCTGGCAAAGTGCAAGTACTGCTATTTCAAAGTCGTGTCGTATAAGAGACATTGCTTGGGCGGCAAGTTCCTTCCTTGTGGGCGAAGAGACGATGGCAGAGGTCAGGACAAGTCTCTCCAAAGGACGTAAAGCCACCCGATCAACGAATCGCACGAGATCAAAGTGCCTGAATGCGTCCCCTTCGCCCTTGTCTATGCCCTCACGAAAACGGTCAGCGAGGAAAGGGTCGCGCGCGAGTCGTTGAGTTTCTTGAACGAGAAGCCGAAAAGTCAATGCAGTGGAAGTATCAAAAGCTGATGGAGGCGCTGAAGATGCTAGTCTGCCTTGGGAGTGAACAATCAGGCGACGAATAAAATGGAGGTATGTGTCAAGCCCGTGCTGCTCAGAAAGCTAAAAAGGAGTTCCCGTGAAAATAGGAATGATTCAGTGATACAAGAACAGCTTTTTTGATACTGATAATCCTCACCGAACGGATTTCAAGCTGATTGCGGTCAAAATTGTCTTCTGTGAGGGTTGAAAGAAGGAAGACGATTTGAGCCTTTACAATTGTATGTATATTAGCGTTTGGAGGATTATCCATCGCCGAAGACCTGGCTGTAGTCTCCGGACGTCGCGAGACGATCCCACCAGCGGACGCCGTTTTTGAGAATGGAAGTAAGAAAATATAGAAAGCACGTAGGCCGAGTCCAACAGCGAACACACCAGCCCGGTGGCAACTCGTCCTCGCTGCCAACACACAAATCCGGGTGCTATTTTGAAGCTCCGATTAAATATACTTGATTCTGAATCAATTATTATTTTACCCAATAATTCGAGTGTTGACACTAGATACGTCGTTTCAACGACATACTACCTAGTATCGCGAGCTATGCGCAAGCGCTAGCATGCCAGCGAATGGCAAACAAATACGCTTCCAAGAGACTTTGCCGCGAGCCATCCATCCGTGGATCCATTATCGATACGCTGGTGTTCAGCTCTTCAGGCCAGATAAGATTAGGTTCTAGCGTACTAGTCACACCATGCAATCATTTAATACGCATGGACTTATTCCAGTTAGTTTACAATTACACTGCCCATCAGCGATAAGACTCCTTTTTGAGGTACCCTGACCAGTCTTGATGCTGATTTACTACTGGATAGTTGGAAATAGTACTCATAGTTGTAGTAAAGTTACTGCTCACGGAACTGATCCTGTGCAGAAACGCAGGTAGGCTGTACCAGGCTGTCACGCCACATCAGACTTCACAGCAATACCTTTGGCAGCAACACGGGAAAAGAAACCCGAAGAAGGTTCAATCCGTCGATATTATATAATCCCGGTTTTTATGTCTCTCCGATCGGATATATGTCAAGATACCGTCGACAGCTCCGCGACTATGTAATACCACACAGCTGTCATTTCACCTCTTCATGTATTTAAGTTCGTTCCGACATTGGGACTTTCTCTAGTTACCCTGCTTCTGCTATCCTACTGCTCTTCAGCTCCAACATGCCTCACTAACTGATTTTTCATAGCAAATTTCTCTCTGGTGCACGGTCTCCGAGACAATGATGATGTCGTATAGTTCACAAGTTGGTCAATCCGCTTCGTATCGTTTTTGACTTCACGTGTTGCCTTCGTTTCAAAGCAAGGGCGATAATACCACTATTAGGATTGGAGCGAAATGAACATTGCGTCGTGCTGCCATGCGTCTCATGAAATATTGACATTACTGGATCTTGATGTGTGCGTGCTCTCTGTTGAATCGGGTGTTGATGCTGCGGATGTAGGGTTGTCGGCACTGCTTGCGCTACTGCCTGATCGGGGTGCAGCCTGCAGAATTCGTATCAGGTCTTGATCGCTGTTAAGGTTCATTTTCTACACATTATCAAATCGGGTGCCACCATACATTGCTCTTCTAGATTTTCACTAAGCGGAAATCTCATTATCTGGGGACGTTCAGGCTGGCTGGGTTTCAATCTGCACTCGCTCCATATTTATTGGTTGATTTCGTGCTCCCTACACTCCCAAAGGTGGCTCACGGAGAGGAGGTTTGAACGGCGTGGGTTGATGGCAAGTTTTGTGATCCGATTTCTTACGAGTCACCTCCCGAGATCTAAAATCTCCTGCTCATGTCGCTTATCGATCCGATTTCCTCATGTGCCATACAGGAATTATTGAAGACTGGCGAACATGCTGTACTTAGCACTGCTTAGTGGCTGCTTTGGTTGGCATCGCCTTATGTGCCACGGTTCTCTTTCGAATTCTTCGTTCAAGCGGCTTTCCTTTACATGGCCCTTATCAGTATTTTATTTCTTATATAACTTCTACCCCACCTCCATCTGTCCTACAACATTCATCAGTATGGGTCGGTCAGATGACAACATTTCCTTCGGAAAGACATATCCTACAATGCACGTTCCAGCAGCCCAGCTTGGCAGTCCGTGAGTCAGGTGTGGTCAGTTGGAGCATCAGTGACTCATGATTCTCGTCATAGCACACTGGCAGCGAGGTATCTTCAGCGTCAGAACATTTCACCTTTGCTGGTATCTGGCCAGTTGAGGTGAATCTCTACCACTAAACAATTCTGCCCTTCTTATTGGTTTTAGAAGGGACACAGCATCGCGTTCCCGCGAATATGTCCCTCCCGGGCTTCCCTCACGTTACTACGCACAATCACAGTCTAGGTGTGTGGCACGGTAAAATTGCGATCGCTCTATTTGATGGTGATCTTGAGCGATGTTTTTACACGTTCTAGCGCCGCCGGTGGTCCAAGGTATTCGAGTCTGTCCACAACGTGTCACTCTGAGCTCATTCTTCCTTTCATTCTCTTTTTCTAGTGCATACCGCTCTGTAGGAGTCGGTTCGACTACTCATTTTCCAAGTGATATTTCAAATAGAAATTTTGGTGTTGAAAGTTATATACAACCGCTGCATAACATAGTATCTCAGTCTCCGGTAATGGTTGTGCCATCATACACAACCAATGCCACCGCTCAGAGCTACGAAGGTGATGTCATGCATCCCTCACGACTACAGCACACAACTCCGCCTTCCGGTGTTGGCACAAGGTATTCCAGTTTGTGTACGGCATCCCATTGAAGCTCATTTTTTTTTCCTTATCTAGCGCAAGAAGCTTTGCGAATGACTACTACATGTTGGATGTCGGTCCGCCTGCTCAAATTTCAGGTGGAATTCCGGATAGAAATTCTATGTCTGGAAATCCTGTGCCATTGCGGCTGAACACAGCATCACAGCCGTTCAACGGCACTCTATACGGTGGCATGGCCATTGCTCCGAGATACGAAGGTGACGTTAGACATGCCTTAGAATCGCACACCGCAGAACCATTCGGGTCCACAGGCTTCTATAATCCAGTTTACCGTGATCCAGATTATTCCCATTATGCCATAACACCCCCTCACCCTCCATCGCCGCCATCATCGTCGATTTCAGCATCCAGGACGGAGACACTTCATTCTAGTGCACATCAGCCGACTCCCTCCACGAGCCGCACTGTCCAAGTGCCGTCATTTCATGGGCACGGTTCCCAGCAGTTGGCTTCTCCTCTGGTTTTCAACATCGATGGCTGTTTAATTGATGAGGATGACCTTGCGGACCAGGAAACCAACAACGGCAACATAATCGTTGGCGAATGTCTTCGCAATGACTCGCCATGCCGCCTTTGGGTGAAAGCCGACAAGGGTTCAATCAAACGCCATGCGCTGAAATGGCATGGGGTTGTTCGTGGAGGCGACACCGACATAGTCTGGTGTACATGGGCTGGGTGCCACGCCCCGATGCAAAAGAGCGCCGTGCCACGGCACACTCTGTGCAAACACTTTGGCGAAACATTTCAGTGTAACGGGTGCTTGAAAATTTCACTCGAGACTATTCTTGCAGAGCTCACGCTGTAGACTGTACTTCAAGCGCTTATGGATACAGTGTATCATATAACCCTACTACTACCCGTGCTATTGATGTGAAGGATATGTCCCTAAGACAGGTCAGTTACTGATTCTGAGTGGGTGAGCGTGATCTTTCCCTAATCTTGTTGATGGCGAGCTAATTCATGCATCAGAAGGGACCAATTGAGCCTAAAGGTTCATTCAAATCAGGTTGTCGTGATTCTCCTTCCACTTGCTCATGTTGCCCATCGAACATCGTGCTTGGAGCGGCCCTTTGAAATATACCGCTCCTGCGTGCGGGTATATCCTGTAGCTACCAACAATTGCTATTGATTCTTACCTGCTCAATGATCATCATATTTATGTCTTCATTTAGCCCTGCGATACCCCCTAGAAGTAGAAGTCATGGAGGTAACTTTGTGTTCGACACATGCTTTGGTGTTACTGTATTGAATCATCTTACGATGTATAAATCTGCCTTGGGAGCTGTATTGTAGTCAACTTCAAATCTGGAGTTTGTATGTGCACAAGCGTTCCAACACGATTCTCAATTGCAAGCCTGTCGCAATCAAGGGATAGGTATGGCTATATCAGCTTTCCCGAGCCATGTGATTGTCATTACAAATGCATGCGAACCCATCTCAATTAATGCTCAATAGCTGTTATGACACGTCCTGATGGGTTGAGATACTGCGGCACTAGTATATATTGCTCCCAGCACTCACTGATTCAGGAATTCGCACCCCGTGTTTTGCTAGGTGTCGCTACTACTACTATGAATACCTAGCCTACGTAGTGCAGGGTCCGGCAGAGGCTGCCAGGCAACTGGCAAGCACTGTCAATCACTCCCTACATCATGACTCTTGAGTATGGTGCTGTGGGGGATAGAGAAGGCCAAAAATTCAATCCACGGCCACAGCTTGTTTACGTTTGATGCACATATGGCTCAGCCCGAAGATGGCAGATGGCACGTGGCCATGCCATTGATATTGGTAGTACTTGTATGTCTAGGGTCTTGCACGGGTACTGGGCATATGCTGATTTCAGTCAGCCACTGGATCTTACGTACATGGCCTCAATTAGCACTGTAGTACTATACTTGTGCACACTCTCAGCGACGGCGTGTTCGCTCTTACCATGGCAGAATGCTCGGGTCGGTAAACGTTTGAACCCGACAGTGCCGACACAGTTATCGGGCAACACGTGCAGTTTGTAACCAATCTATGAAATTGTATAAATTCAGAGCATCATGATCAAATGTCTCCTCTTCAGACAACAACACCGAGCCTCTCGAGATGCTGGTGTTCTTAAATTTTGTCACTTTACGCTCTGACCACCATGTGACTACCTGGATTCTGCGGCGAACCTCCTCAGACAACAGAGTGGCCTTTGCATGTCTTCGAGCATTACTATGAGGCTTGCAATTCGCAAACAGTGAGCAGGCTCCATTGATATAATTGACATGGGATCCTGTGATTTAATACCCATACAAGGTCAAACATGCGAACATCTGGCAGCTGGAAGTCCGAGTCGATGATACACGAAGTTGAACCACATAACTGATCACTCGTCTCTGTTATTGAAACAACTTCGAGGATCATTTCAATGACCATATGTTAATTTGTGGTATTCATCATGCTACTGCTGGCTGCGCCCCTTGGTCACTTCTCCAAGACTTATGAAATCACTGGCTATCATTCTTCATCATTCCGTTCATTTCCTTTCCGTATCGTTGGAGCCAGCCAACATTGCTGTATGCCTGCACACCGCCCCCTGGCTGCTTGCGTGCCAGGCTTATGAATGATCAATTCGCACAACGCGCCCATATATAATATGCAGTGCCGGTTGCTCTATTCTGCATCTAACTTTTCCCTTTCAAAACTTTTACTCACGTAATGCCCAATTCGAACGGCACCAATATCTGGGGATTCACTGTTCCTGTCCATTCCGCTGTGCGGGAGGACCTCTCGTCGCCGATCCAGTATGTTTTTTTTTCAATTGGACTCATGATATCAGACCTGACGATTCGTAGGGAACTTCCATACATCACAAGGGTGGTGCTACACCTTCCTCTGGAGATTTATCATCTCCTAGCCACGAAATTAGGAGGGGCACCCAATCTAATGCAAGTGGTTTCTTTCAAGCACGACTCCGTCCTCACATCTCTGTTTTCATAGGAATGCATTAACGCCGTCATTTGTAGAGGTACAAATTGACGACGGCACTACGAGCATGTATTATTATGGACACTTAAGGTGTGTGTCCCGATGGATGCGTGATCAGCTTGTGAAACAGCGATGTCAGTGATGTACTACCTTCACAAAATGTCTCTCCCGATGCATTTTTTGATGGTCACTCAAGGTAGCCGAACCTGTGTACTGTTCACTATATCGCTCATGCTTCCTTCGATACGGGTTCTTTAGTTCGCGGGACGCAAGGATAACCTCACAATTTCGCGAGAACATGTATCCACCTTATCAAATGCCAAGTTCCGTACGCTGGGAGCATACAACAAACCTTGATACCGGCTCTTGTTTCGAGTCGGCATTCGGTGACCTTAACGGCCAAGCTGCTCCTCAAGTCCATTATCCTACGTTGCCTCTGGAGCTGTCCTCGGCCATGCAGCCCATTCTTCCTTCAACATCCTCCAGTACTATTACCACCATTCCTTTCAGCGCCCAGTCACCTTTCCTTGATGGCAGCGCAACCTTGCCTAAAATCCCCTCTGCAGATCGCCAAGTCTCTTATAATTCAGAGCACGGAATCCAATTGGCCCATGGGCATCAAATCCAGCCCGGTTGCCCTCGGACTTACATGGTCGATGGTCTTCTGATTGGCGAGGAAGACCTCATAGATGGGAATACCGACAATGGCTACATAAACATCCATGCATGCGATCGCGAAGATTCTCCCTGTGGTCTCTGGGTTAAAGCGGACAGACGTTCTGTCATGCGCCACGGGCAGCGGTGGCACGAGGATGTTCGGTGTAGTGCGGACAAGACAATTACTTGCCCTTGGTTAGGCTGCAACAGGCAGATGCGGGCGAGCGCCATACCGCGGCATACTTTAAGCGCCCACTTCGGTGTAAGATGGATCTGCAGGGGCACGGGATGTTCAAAAGTCTTCAGTCGTCACGATACCTTCAAGGCCCACGCTGCAAAACGTGGCTGTCTCGGGGCAACCGTGAGGTACGATGCAAATACTCGTGTCATTAATACACAAAATGTTCTGAATCTTTACGGTTGAGTGAGTTATTTATCTGTTAACTCTTGCTGGCTGTTAACCGAACTCGCGCTTTCGTTAGAAAAAGAAGGGAAACAAGGGGGCAGTATCCTTCCCTCATGCTTTTGATCGTCATTATACATGTTCGCATTCACCATTTCCATCACGACCACAGATGTTTTTAACACGAAAGCTTTTATGTCCTCACGAACTCACCATGACGTCATACGAATTCATACCGTAATTTATAACGCCCTTATACCTCTACATACGCGGCAGCACAAACTATAATTAATTGCAATGCAGCACCATGTATATTTTGTCCATCTTGCTGCACAAAGTATTGTCCCATTACAGTGACAAAGTTCGAGTTTACAGAAAATTTCGATCTGCAAACACTGAATAAAACCTGCAGGTAGCAGTATCTGCCGACTGGTCAGTTCGAAGTGTTCATTCTTATTCCATAGCCGGCCGGTCGAAAGACGGCAATTGAATGGAGGTGACATGCATAGTCCTGTACATGTACTCATAAACTAAGTACAGCATAGATGCACGGTAAAAATACATGCTAAGCGATATCAGATCAGGTCTGCGAAGGATACTGGCTATTCTGCTGTGCCTGAGCCATAGTCCGATGCTGTGAAAAAAATGCACCATTATGAGAAGCTCGCCTTATCATCGGACGAAATTAGCTCACCTGCATCAACCGAAGGGCCTGGTCCATCTGTTCCTGTGTGAAATGACCACCAGGAAGTGTAGCCACCACCGGGAAGTAATGAGCCTGCCGTGGAACAACATTTACAGGCATCTGAGGCTGCATGGGGAGTTGGGGTTGCGCGGAGGGTGGTCGGGGAGACACAGCGTTGGATGGCGTGCCTATGTTACGTGGAGGAGTTGCTTGCGGTGCTGCGCCAGGCGATGACGTTGCAGCCCGCGACTGATATGGAGGTGGCAGGTGGGCACCAGCAGGAAGTCCGTTAATGGTAGGAACAGGGCTACCTTGGACCGGCGCTTGGGATTGGGATTGGGATTGGGCTTGGGCTTGGGCCTGTGCGGCTGCAGCGATGGCACGAGCTTGGACGGCTTGAGCTTGCAACAAGTGCTGAGGAGATATGCGAGCCCCTGGAACGGCTGCCGATGCCATTGGTGTTGGCATTCTCTGCTGCTGAGAAATATTGACCTGTGCTACAGGCTGATTCCGTATTTGCGCGACAGCTTGTGCAGGCTGGGCTGCTGGTCTCGGTGTCCCATTTGGCTGTTGTTGCTGGGCTGCCGCTGCCGCTGCCGCTGCCACTGCTGCCTGCTGGGGTTGCTGGTGACTCGCCATCAGAATAGCGCTTGAGAAAAGGTGAGATGATAACACATACACCAGCTGCGGCTGCGGCGGCTTGCAGCCTTGGGTCACGCTGCATCATTGCCTGACGGGTAAGTTCCTCGTGGCGACGTCGGGCAAGGAGTAGTTCTTGTTGCTCCCTTGACTCTTTCTCATACTTCATACGACTAAGTTCAGCTGGTGTCAGTTTAGGCATTTTTTGATACTGCCCATGTGTATCATGAACATTGGATGCCTTTCGCTGATTCACTGATGAATTGACAGGAACCAGTAAGTGCTGGAGAACTGTAAGTAACGAATATAGCTCACTAGATGCTTTTTGTGCTGCTTCGCGCTTCTTCGCAGCTTTGCGCATCGTCTCATACATGAATGTATGTCTCCGCCGTTTTTTGGCGTCAGATGTCAAGCCGGCTCCAGGGCTCTGGTTCTGTGTAACTGACATACTAGCTAATCGCTTAACACCTCTCGTGGTCATCTGCCCTTGAGCTGAGGTTGATGCTGGTGGCGGCGTGCGCTCCGTGTTGACAGGGGAGTTGACATCAGGATGGAGCCTGTGTCCACTACCAAGGCGGCTGCTCCAACGCTCGAAGCATTCCCAGGGAGTTCGTTTATCGGTAGAAATAGTAACACGCGAGGAGTTGAATGAGTCCGCAACTAGCAGCCAGTTATTAGGATATCTCTCCACGAGGGTTTTGAGAAGGGAGTCTTCATCGGAGCTCCAAAGATGCTCCGAACGCTTCTTGCCGTCTTTTGATGGCAGTCCAAGGGAACCGACTGCGGATGGTCTACTGCCCTCAAAAAGGTCTGCGAATAGCCTTCAGCATCACTGTCACTTTCTCAAGGCGACCTTACCTGAGGCAGTATCATCCACTGTCTTCCCAATTGCGCTATCGAAATCCACAGCTACTGCTGCTTCTTCAGCGAACATCCACTCCCCATTCACCCAATGCCTAGCAGGTTGCAAAGGCCCAAGAAGCGTCGGCTTGCAGTGCATGAACCGACCCAACGGTGCCATCTTTGTGAACCCTGCATCCTCAACACGCCTGTTATCCTCTCCCGACCTCTTATCCTTCTTCTTCCCCTCGTTCGAGCCAGAAGCAACATCTGGCATGTCGAGCGGTTGAAGGTCGGGGAAAATGTCCGACAGATCAGGGATGGGTAGCGATGGCTCAATACCAGAGTCGTCCGTGGTCAGATCACAGAGTGCTTTGACAAGGACGAGGTCGTCATCGTCAAGGAAAAGCTTTCGCTCGTCGGAGTATGCGATCTGCTCTCTGAGCGGTGCATACAAACTCGCCTTGGACGCTTTGGATGATGATTCCGTAGGAGCAGCATCGGACTGCGTATTTTGCTGCGAGGCAAGATTGGGGTCTGCCGAATCCGCCTTGAGACCAGTTTGATCATCATTCTCGACCTTGGCCTGGTCTTCCTGCTGCGTGTCCACCTTCATCATATTTGAGTCCTGTAGAGCTGAAGGATCTTCAACATCTTCAACTTTGGGCTGAACATGGTCGGGGCCTGGAGTTTGGTGCTGACTACTGTCCGTGGACTCGTTAGATCCTGTTCCATCCAGTGCTTCTTCTAATGCGTTGCGCGACTCTAGAGCGTCTGCGATATCTCTTTGCTCCGCCTCTCCCTCCTCCTCATCGCCATCGGACTCGTCTGCCATAGGGGTATACCTATTGTGCTCCGCAGGCCGCGAGTCGATGTCTACATCTTCCGCAGGAGCATTTTGAGAAGACCTGGGTCGCTTCCACAAAACACATATGCCAAGCCTGACCCTCTCCTCGCGACTCCCCGCATCATGCCACTCCAGTACAGCAGTCGACAGGTTAAACGCGAGAACATATTTCCAGCGTCGCTCCTCCCGAAAATCAACACGCATCCATTTCTGACTAGAACGTCAGCCAGGTGCACCGCAAAAATCATAGAGATCGTGCCATTTCGTCCATAAGATAGTCCCAGTGGGTCTTGGTTAGACCTCCGAGATTCTTTTGTCTTTTGGGCTGCCTATAACTCCACTTTGCGACATTTTCAAGGCTTTCAACACGTTCAAGGGCGCGCGTGAGCCTTAATTCGGCAATGGCAACCTACATACTCCATGAGGATCTCATCTGGGACAGATTTACATCACTTACACCCCACTCACGCGTGCTCAAGCACTTGGTGGCACGAGAGACCTTCTTCCAGACGGGGTTTGCACGGATGGTCGCACCCCACTTGGTCAGGCCCATGGGTGTCCATTCATCCTTGATTTTCCCGTCTGCTTTGTCACGTTCCTTGTCTCGCTTTTTCTGTTTGGCAGACTTGCCCTTGCGGATATATTCAGGAGGCAATGATTTGATCGGAGGTAGACTGTAGGCGGGGTTAAAATGATGATGTTTTTGTTGTTGTTGATTTTGATTTTGATTCCGTGACGCCTCTACGGGTGTTGAGGCAGCAGATGGTATCTCATCAGGCGGCTCGCTATCGGCCTCATCGAAGCTGAACGCCGGATCAGCCACCGGAGACGTGGGGGTGGGAATGAGGAGGGAGGGCTGAATAGATGCGACGTCCACAGTGGTATAGACTACGGTGCGGGGGGTAATTTTCTGGACAGGCGAAGACGATGGAAGGATGAGATCGGGTGAGGGTTCTCTAGCTTCCTCCATGGACACGTCCATTCTTTCCTCCAAGTCGACGAGTACTTCCTGGACCTCACTCGCCTCGTCGAGGGCGGCATTTACAGGTTGAGGGGAACGCGGCGAAAATGTACGAGATTTCGAACGAGGCGTACAGTGGGTCAGGGATTGACTGCGATGACTGACTGATCGCTGAGACGGCGACCGCGAAAGGGCTACGAGATTCAGTTCATCTGGCTCGTCGTCTGGTCTCGGGCGTTTATGTGACACGGGAGTGGCGCGGGGAGGTGACCCTTCCGGTATCGATGCGGCTAAGGGATCATCAGATTCTGGAACTTGAAGTAATACAGATGATTCGGAGCGAGGTGAAGCAGGAGGCTCTGACATGGGGGAATCTGCATCGATGACGTCCGGCAGCTCTATTAATTTGAATTCACCAGCAATTGGAGATGATGAAGTGGCACACAGTTCGCTCGGTAGAATATTTGATACCATGCCCGAATCGGGACTGGCGGGAATGAGCACATTAACGAACCAATCTGGTGGATGATGCCACAAACTTTTCGCTGAGATCATATTTATCTAACCAATCCTGAAGTCCATCTTCAGTCCTCATCATCGAACATAGATGTGGAACCTGCGTTTTGTCGTCTCCTCATCATACGGTACATTTCGCGAAGGAGTTCATTTCTGCGGTGTGAGATTACTCTGCGTGCATACCAGGGTAAACATTATGTGTTGGTATCGAGTATAGTGCACTCACTCGAGCTGTGCCACACGTTCCTCCACAAGAGCTTCAATTGACAGCGATGGCATACCACAGAGAGCACTGTCTACCACTCTAGCTTTCAAACACAGGTACGTAAATCGCGGGCGGAAGTCGGTCCAAAGATAAAAGCCCTAATGTCGCTGGTCGTGTTTCTGGGGTGTTGGACGTGTCTCAGAGTGTAATTTTTTTAGTGAATCCTCCGGCGTCAATATGATAATCTGAGGAAGGGAGGATGAAGGTCCGGTGGACGAGCTGAGGAGGGGTTATGTACAAGCTTTGCATTGAAGGGGTCAAGAACTCCCACGAACTGAATACCGTGTCATGCTCGGAATTTGAGATTAATAAATCGGGTCACAGTTTGTGCTCACCGTCGTACGTTTCGTTGACCATCCTCACGATGCGGCCTGCTTGTCTAGCAACGAGCCTTGCTCGCTTTTTGTCGCGAGCTCAGCGTAGAAGTTTGTATGCTTCACTTCTGGCAGAACTCATGAATAACTGTTCTTCTCAGCTCTGCACCAGACGAGGGTTCGGCATGCCATTACCAACCTGAAGATGCCAGCCATGTCGCCGACTATGACAGAAGGTGGAGTTTCCTCGTGGAAGAAGAGGGAAGGCGAGTCATTCTCGGCAGGAGACGTCCTACTAGAAATTGTATGAACTTTGCGTGTTTCCGTTTGCACACGAACCTCACAGACTTAACAGGAAACGGACAAGGCAACTATTGACGTCGAGGCACAGGATGATGGCATCTTGGGCAAAATTATCGTCTGTCTCGTCATCTCACAACAACAACAACAAGCACTAACTGCAATGTAGGCCCAAGACGGTAGCAAGAACGTCCAGGTTGGCAAAGTCATTGCCCTCCTCGCTGAGGAAGGAGATGACATTTCGAACCTTGAGGCACCCAAGGAGGAGTCCAAGCCAGCACCTTCTCCACAACCCGAGGCTCAGGCAGCTCAACCCCCGGCACCGGCACCTCAACCTACGGCTTTCAAACCGTCGCACCATCCGAAGCACTCCAAGCATTTACTGCCATCGGTGATACGTCTCCTGATCGAAGGCAACGTTGTTGATGCAGAAGCTATTCCGGGCACGGGTGTTCGCGGCATGCTTACCAAGGGCGATGTACTTGCATACCTTGGGAGAGCGTCGAGTCCAATGGGAACATTCAAGGAAGCGAAGAACGAGGTTTTAGGGCCAAAAAGGGTCGAGGAAGTTAAGGTGTGCTGCATTGCACGAGCTCGATATCACAATTGTTCATATGTTCACTCAGCCATTGGATGGTGCTGTCATCCGCCAACTTATCGTCTCTGGCCTAGCCGCCAAAACGAAGCTTGCACCTGGTGAGTCATCTTTCTGTAAATCATGTTACAAAGCATCTGACGCCCTAGCTAGCACTTACAGCACCGGCAACATTCGACGCCATTATCGCCGACTACCTTCCTCCTTCGCCCTCTTCACCGAAGGCTGCGCCAATACCCATATCATCAACCAAAGTACAAGACAGCTCTGCCAAGTACTTCGATGGGTTACTCTAAATGTTATATTGCCACCCTTGTTGCATAGACGTTACTTAGACTTCTGGGCTATTGATACTCATTTCAGAACACCGATGAGTACACGCGAAATTTACCACAGGTCATGTTACCTGTCTATGTGAGATACTTGAAGCACTGCTCTCCACAAGTCCAGTGGAGGTACAGAACATAACGCCTCACCTCCTCTTGCGTTGAAAAAATCCGATAGCTTTCGACAACCTCCAGCGACACCAGCCGGGCACACGTTGCTTTACTGAGCGACATCGTCGTCCAAAGCAAGGCACTGCTCTGATCAGCGTCAGCCTTCAGAACTAAATTAAAATGATCTCACTCGAAACTCGATGAAAGAATCAGACATCCCACCCCGCGGCCTTGGCACGGGCACTAAGAACTGCAAACTCAACAAACCCTCCTGCTCAAGGCGAAGAGAGGTCTTTGTCGAGTTCTGCAAAGCTCGCAGCGTGCGCGATATATGTGCAAATCGATAGCTAATATTGAGCATCTCAGTCATTTCTAGGTACGTGCAGCACACCGAATAACAATACCTGAAGCTGACACTACGCGAACACTCGAATGTTTCTAGCACCTCTCTGTCGTTCGGATAGTCCATCTGCAATAGATTGGAGCCTGAACTCTGGACAAAGTTAGAAATTCACCTCGGTGCTGCCGAATGCTCCCGTTCCCTGTATTCGAAAGAGGGGTTTAGCGAGGACGCCTCTTTGCGCGCTCTGGACATCTGCTACAGGATTGGCAATCAACGTTATTTTTTCGCAAGATGGATCAAGCTCTGAAAGGGCATCGCGGAGCCAGAATGATGACTGGTCATCGTGTGAGCTGCATCATAAGCTCGATATCCGTTAAACAGACCTTGAAAATGATCTTGAGGGCACTAAACAAAGTATAAGGCAGAATGAAGAATAATTTGAGGAGGCACCCAACGTCTGTTCAGCATCAAATGGGAGCTCTAAGTTCGGCTCAGAATCGAAAGTCGATATCTCACACGTCGTCGTGGGCCCTGATGAGTCTTCCGCACTGCAACATATCTGTACAGTCGATCAGGCCAAGAGGTCTAAAGCTTACAGAACAAGTGTCAAGGCGTGTCCGGGCCCCGCATATGTGAGACGCATGCTCGTCCGCTTCTCGTTACCGCTGAAGTGCTGATCGATACGATTGGCATTAGGACGACGTCCGTCGTTGCCCCTCTCATCGTCTGAGGCATCTGAGGCTCGCCGCCACTGCTTGTGCTTCGAGCCTGTACTGCTTGAGGAAGATATATTCGCGGTTCCAAAAATGTTCAGGCATTCAAGTAAGGTGTTCAGAGGGATTTCAAAAGACGTGGCGTGTCGATCAATATCGGGTGCAGACAACTGAGACGGGGCAGCTTGTAGATTATCGACGTCGAATGCCCACTCGTCAAAATGGTCCGCATAGATGTATGACGTTGCTGTGAACCATTGTACAGATGTTTGCGGGAACAAACGAATGCGTACCTAAGAGTGTTCGCGCTTCCTCAACAGTGACAGTTATCCCACTCCCGGCTGTAAATCTCATAGATGCTCGCTTGAATCATAGTTTGCAGCGATTAATCACAGTTCAAAGCAGTGCGCTCACGTTCGAAAACCCAATTCCGCGTAGGAGGGAGGCAAAATATCGAACGTCGTGTACAGATGCTGTTAAAAGCTGGAGCCCTTCTCAGCTGGGAGTACGCTCCATTGACGGGAGATAGATAAATATCGTACAGGTTTGGCCTTATCTAGTTGACTTGGCTGGGACATCATTTGCGACATTTTCTACTCTTCCTTAGGAGAGGCCAAGTTAAACAAAGGAACTCTCCGACAAGGTGTGTGACAGGTGACAAGACACATTACGAGTCAGGTGATCTATAACTTTGTAACCTTCGTAAAAACATCGTTGTCGATTCGCGTCATCAACAAAAAAACCAAATCCGTGCATACCATATAATTGGCCAGTAACAGCTAGTACAAGGTGTGAAATTGCTACCATCTCCACAATCACATAACAGACTTGTGTCAAGTTTGTCAGTGAGCATATAAGTCCGTGCATGCAACTAGATTTTATGTATACTCTTACCAGCCTTGCTACATTTGTACTACTCGGTAGACCCTTGTTTGGGCGATGATAAATACATGCTACTACAACTGTTGTGACAATTGTGCTTCCTGGTGGTCCCTTGTGCAAGTGATGAATTTGATGGATACTTGTACAAGCCTTGTTGTGTTTGTGTTGTTTGGCAGACCCTTGTTTGTGTCAAATTTGATACATACTACTATAAATCTTGCAATATTTGTGCTTCCTGGTAGTCCCTTGCATGGGTGATGAACTTCGATGCATGTTCCTACAAGCCTTGTTATGCTTGTATCACTTGGTAAACCTTTGCATGGGTGATGAACTTTGATGCATATTCCTACAAGCCTTATTACGCTTGTGTCGCTTGGCAAACCCTTGTTTGCAGTCATGCTTAATATATACTACTATCAATCCTGCAACATTTGTACCTCCTGGCGGTCCCTTGCATGGGTTATGAACTCATATGCAACCTCCTCCAAGTCTTGTTCTGCTTGCATCACTTGGTAGTCATACATGCTACTACAAGTCTTGTAACCACTTGTGCTTCCTGGTGGTCCCTGGTGTAGATAATGAATGTCAATAAACTTCTATGCACATTCCTACCAGTACAATTGTTGAGATCAGCTGAAATGTATCCTTTTTGGGATTGGCACAGGTATACCCAGTGTATACTAGTCTCAACTCGGAGCCAGGCATTCGGGGTATGCAAAGTTCAAACACTAGCCCATATCTGCTCGTGACCCTGCACACAGCAAGTCCTGCAAGTAGGATGAGTGCAGCATGCAAGTACTAGTATATAGCATATACTGTCTACATCAGGCTTTGCCCCAAGCAGATACTAAATAGTGTTTTTTTTTATTTTAAAAAGTGCTAGTATCAGACAGTTCAGATCTATCACAGGTACTTCACAGGCAGCAGATTGAATAGTGGACAATATACTAATACATGAATTTGAATAAGCTAATTAATAACTGACTGCAACTGTATACAGTTACAGCCATACAATTTATGGCGACTCTCCAGACACTGCCCATACCATAATGGATCTCAGTGAGCTCAAACCTTTGACAATACAGTATGCTGTCAGTGTCACTTCCTCTGTACCTTGCAATGGTATTGCCCCCATCGTGTTTCCCCTGATGAAGGTACAAGTCAGTACATTCTATATTCAACAGAAAATACCATACAAACCAGGAATCAGAATCAGCAAATTGTAATACTAAGTAGTTCAGTGAGTGTGCTGTTTCCATAAGTAATGCAGGCTCAAGAATGCACAAATAAAATAGTTACCATTTTCTCAAGCCATCCTGACCATTCCAGATTACAGGAACAAGAACTACGCAAGGTGCACATTGCAAAATGTCACACGAGCTTTCAAACGAAGGTGATTGTGACACAGGACATAGTCGAAACAAGAAAAGTTCACTGACCTATATAGTCCTCCAGGGAGAATATCTGGCATCACAAAGAGCAAATATTGCCCATGGAACTGAGGACAGGCATTTGGCCCAACTCGGATGCCACACCCATTCATTTACATGTGAATCTGTAAAAAAATAATTGAGTTCATAATGATTGCAAACTTCGATGCCAGTCTGAGTCTTTGAGCAGCTAATGGTCATTAAGGCTCTGCATTCCTGAGTGAGAGCACAGTTATAGATCAGACCTGCAACTCTAATTTGGTGAGTTGTAATGTCATATGTGGATAAGCCAGGATGAGCTGATGGTCAGTCTTGATTCTTCCATGACCTCATGGAGCTCGAACAAACAGAGTCACATGTGGCATGCCAACCCTGCACTACTGTAGTTCCGAGTGTACTGGTACCATGACTGCCGCAAGAACATGAACTTGAACAGGGTCAGGTTGAACTAAATCAACTTCCCTCAGCGAGGGACAAAAGAAGATGTTCAAGTGCAGAGCTTCCAAGCTTGGAGCTCACTGAAACATTGTATAGATCACTAATGTTACGGTGATCATGGAAATGTTACTTAGCACCATTTGATTTGTTTGGCAATTGGGGATAGCTCATGTCTCCCCTGGAACTTGAGTTTCGAAACTTTGTGTTAGTGCCAACTTGGAGTGTGAGCACATGACCATCCTGAGTGTCCATGCCAATCTACTCACTCCAAATTGTCCACCAGGTTTCTGTCTATATTATGGTGTACATCGCACGTAGTACCTTCATGATTGTCAATGGCATTTCATCAGTCTACTAGTACATGATCATGTGTCAAACAGTGCTCTCCATTGAGCTTGAATATATATAGTATAGGTTTACAACTGCAGGTGTCATAATTAATAAGTTTATTTGGCACTGCTCTCCAGAACGTGACAAATCTTGGGCAGCACCTCTGTTTGCCTGTCAATGGTAGTTTTGAGGTGTTTCACAACATCAACTACTGAGCTTCCATGAGTCTGAGTTGGGCATCCATTAAATTCGAAGGCCTTTCCCAACTTCCTATGCTTTGGCATTTCAAGCACTAGCATCAATTTAGTGTGTTTGACATTGGTCAGGTTTTGCCCAAAGCAGTGTGGTCCTGTCTAGAAAATTCAATAGTCATTACTAACAACCGATGTGAAAAGATGAGTCCAGCTTACCATTATATCTCCTATGGAGCCTAACTCAAAGGTTGACTTGGACTTGGGCCTCTTATGCTTTAGGGGCCAAATTCCACCGCTATGGCCTTCAACATGTGTGTTCCAACTATTGACATCCTGGAACAATAACCATTAGGATCAAGTGTACTAGAAGATCTCTAGGTGACCACTGTACCTGTTCAAGTCTCTTAGGCTCATGGTGTTGTTCAGATACATCTGAGCCTGCAAGTGCAGGTCCAGGGTCGACTTTTGTGCGAATGTAGCACCTACAAGGTACACAGGAAGACCTTGGCCATGTGCCTGGCCACCAAGGCACATGCTCAAAATCATGGCTATGTGGAGTATTGGGTGTGTAGATTTCAGGTCTGCTCAGACATATGCTAGACATTGTGGTGTCATCTTCACATGCCTTGGCAGGTTCAGCAGCTATAAGGGGAGCTTCTGAGTCAGCCCTGTCCAAGTCATTGAAGTTAGATGGATGCCATGAGTCTGGGTTACTGGTATACATAGTGAAATGTAGCTCTCTAGGCTCTTGTGACACACAGGTGAATTTTGATATACATTTTTTCACATTCTAATAACAAAACAAAGTTGTTGAGCTCCTTCTGATCCTTGCCACATACAGTTGGACCCTTCAGTAACTTTCTTGATGCATGGGCATCATAAAAAATAAAGTTTGCTTGATGGTGTGTGAAGTTTGGAGCTGACATTAGAATTACGTAGGTCTCTTGCCAACAGTTGGTGCTAATTGGTATCATGTGCTGTGATTGCATGAGGTTTCCATGTTAGCTTAAGTGAAATGATGCCACCCGAAGTCCATCCAGGGAACAAACATGAGGCTGGTAAAATACACATTATAACAGTGGCAGTTCATACAGCACAGGACAAACCTAGTAGAGGTACAGTTATCAATTAATATGGAACAAATGCCATATACCAGCAGTCACATGACTCTGCATCATGTCTTTGAACAGGCTGCACAATAATACTGTGGAAATTGATCGACGTACAAAGAGTCAATGATCAGAGCAAATAAATACTATAATTTAAGGTGAAGTGTACCAGTTATTTCACTTGTTGTGTTGTTCAGTGCAGGGCCCATCATTGAGGCATCAATGTTTGAAGTGGCTGTGCAGCATGGGCACAGGCGGTGATAGGACAATGAGTTCTTATAAAACAGCTTCAAATATGTCACACCTTGATTTCTTCATGCAGTGATGGTAAAATGCCATATGAACTTCAACCAGCACACCCTTAAGTTTCACTTCATACTGGAGTGGTGGGATAAGAACATGGTTCTGGTCATATGCTGGTAATGGGCAAATATTATGCTTGGATGTGACATCCTGCAGATGGCCTTTACATCGGTTGGCAACTGGCCAAGTCCCAATGTCAAATTCAGAGCTTAGGCTGTCTGGGTGGGCTAAAGCAGATACTTAGGTTCATACAACAGCGAAGGATCGTTTCTAACTCACTGACAGCGGTTGAACCGTTATCATCTTCATCACTGGTACCACCTTGAGCTTCATCATTAGCCTATGTGTGATAGTATTCAGTATCATTAAGGAGGATTGATGAATCATGGAAACCAACTTACTTCAAAGAGATGGTGACTCAGCTTAATTGATCTGCCACAGCCGATAGTGTCCTGAATAACACTAACAGTCTCATAATATCTTTCCTTTGGAACTAAGTTCTTGAAGGCACTGAGATTGTTGACAACAGCAGGGAAATCCTTTGACAAAAACTTGAAGGCCTTGCTATGACCTGCAGTGAGTTGACAGCTCAATTCCAAGTCTGCTAAGTGGCCATGGAAGACATTGGCAGGATTGAAGTTGCCATCTGGTGTGAAAAAGAAGTTATTACGACTGATCTTGAATACCCCATGGATGATGAACTCTTCATCATAGTCCAGACCCTTGGTGATGAGGATGTTACCATCCCTTCCACCAGTGAAATACTCAGCACAATAAGCAAGCCTAGGTGTTTCAGCATAAAAACCTCCAGAAGATGTCTTTAGCTTGTTGAGTACTGATGCAGGAGTTTTTGGAGGGATCAGAGCACTGGAGGATAATTTGGGTGCTGGTGATGTGGTAGTGTCTGACATGTTCATGTTTTGGGTGATGTGAAATGGCTTGTGCATGTAGTCTGGTAGATTATTATTAGAAGAATAACATGATGATCCATGCACATATGCTAGTACTGCCAGGGACATGAGTGAGGTGACCAAGTGTTCATTGCTTGTCAAGGCACTAGGGATTACTAGTAATGGGAATGCTTATAGGACATATCCGTAGTAGTCATAGGATCTCTGAAATGAAACTAAACCAATCCTAATTCAATGATGGTACATCATGGCAAACAGAACTTCTAAGAATCTGGTATGTTTTGATCATTCAATCAAGCAATGAAAACCATGGCTGTAATATTTTACTGGTATTCTACAAGGTCAGATACTGATTCATCACTACCGGATAGTGTCACCTTGCTCGCCTCTGCAATCATAACTCATCGTAACCTATAGTACAACATGTCTCCGAGTCAAGACCTCAGGATCAGGCCATAAATAAGGAATCTCAGAGACATGACACCCAAGTTGAACTGAATCCTTGAACCAATGTGGTGTAAGGATGGACATGGCGGTATGTGATGCAAAATACATTGCAGTTTGGTACTATGCCACAAGGGTTAGTGCAGTGAAAAATGATCCTATAGTAAATGAAACAGAGAGAGTAAGTACCTTATCGCTCTGTTCATGCAATGCAAA